GCAGGGGAGGGGCAGAGAGAGAGGGAGACACAGAATCTGAAGCAGCTCCAGGCTCTGAGCTGTCAGCACAGAGCCCGAAGCAGTGCTCAAACTCACGAACCACAAGATCGTGACCTGAGCCAAAGTCAATGCTTAACTGACTGAGCCATCAGGCACCCCGTATACAATGTTAATTCTTTTGTGGAGGCTTCCTTTTTATTGAAATGTGTTGTCTGGTGTTGTTTCAAATCGTAGCAAATTTAGGGCAAAAGGTGCCTTTTGAAAGGGCTGCCAATGGCCAAATCTGGGCCAATTTGAGCAAAAATGATAGTAATAGAATAGATCCCATCAAATAGAACAAGATACCAGGGCGGCATACTAACAATTTAATAAACAATCCAAAGGGGGAAAGGGAACTGTAATTTGCAGGAAAATTCCAACTAACAAATGTATAAGGAATGATAAAAATAGAACCACCACCATTTGGCACAGCCAAGTAATTCATTAGTAAATGCTAAAGAGAGTATACTAATTCATGATGAAAAAAGTTATTTCTATGGTCTCAATGAATCTCCTCATAAGATATTCACTGATTATGAAAAATAAACACAGACAACACCTTACCCAAGTGATTAAAGTTAACATGACAATTGGAGGGAAAAGTCAACATCCTAAGTCTCCTGAGAAGATACATTGACAGGGACACATCATTGCTTTGTGGTGTTCTTACAAGAATGTCCGACATGAATTAAATCCTAAGGAAACATCATACAAATGCAGGGGTGTATTCTACTAATTAACTAGGCCAGTACTCTTCAAAACTCTCAAGGACTTAAAAGACAAAGAGGAACATTTATAGCTTAAAAGAAAACAAGAAACATGGAAACTAAACGTAGTACACAATAGTGATTTTGATCCTTCAGCAGAAAAAGAACATTATAACAGTTGGTAAAATCTGAATAAGCACCACAGCTTAGTTAACTTTCTATCAAGCTATGGTTTTAACATTTGGTACATTTGATGCAATTTATAGGGTAGTGCTCCGTAATGTGCTTACAATTTTGTGTAAGTCTGAAACCATTTCAAAATTAAAATTTTAAAGTTTTTTAAAGATACAACTCAATAAGAAAATCTGTTTTTAAATAACGCGTGAACATATATACACTCAACATCATTTGTCAGTAGAGATCTTCATGCTGGAACAATAAGCTGGTAACACTACATAACTAGATAAAATACACAAAACTGACAATCCCCACTGCTGCCAAAGATGTGGAGAATAGGCATTCTCCGATATTACGGATGTGAATGTAAACTGGTAGAGCCACTATGAAAGACAGCTAAACATATTTACCCAACGGATGTGAAAACTCATGTCCACATAAACACCTGCATGAAAATGTTTATAGCTCCCTTATTCTGAGTCACCAAAAAGTATTCAAACAAGATGGCCTCCAATAGGTAAATGGATAAACCAACTGTGGTATATTTATGCCAGTTGTTCAGAAAAACTATTTAAAGGAATTATCAAGCCCTTATAAAGCTACATGCTTCATAATTGCAACTGTAGGACATTTTGGATGAGGGAGAACTGCAGACACAGTAAAATGACCAGTGGTTGCCAGGTGTTTGGAGGAAAGGCTTTGGCAACAGATGGTTTCTCATTTCAGCAGTATGTCATACTAAGACAGTCTCCTTTCTATATGAACTCAAATGCTGAATGAACTCTCAAAAGCTGTTTAAGAACAATAAGAATGGCCTATCAAAATTAAAGAACAAAATTCCACCTGGTGATATAGTGTGCTCAGTTACTGAACTCTACTGACAGATGAAAAAGGAACACAGGCAAGGGAATGGTAAGGATACATACTAAGTTCACCCTCTATTTTTCTGCTCTCCAAAATACAGATGGCAGGAGAAGTGAGGGCGAGAGGGAGAGATGGGCTGTAAGATCAGAAAGGTCAGAGAGGGCTCTACAGACTGAGTGAAAGGACCACACCTACAGCTCCAAAAGGCCTGAGGACCAAGTGAAGAGCCAAAAATTAAGTCCTCCATTAAGAGAAACCTCGGGCTGCACGTAGCCCCAGTCCCAGTCCCAGGAAAAGCCTCAGACTGTTCAAGGCTAAAGCCATCCTCAGACCGCCCTCAGTTCAGCTAATCAAAAAGAAAAAAGAGAAACATTCCTATGGTCTGAGTCAAGGCTGGAAACTGCAGATACAAACTCGCCCCTTCCGCTTCTGTACCATTGCTTAAGGCTTGAGTTTCAGCCTCCCCGGAACTATCAGGCAGCTGCACACTGCCCAAGGCCGAAGAAGCTGGCCACCACATCACTCCACCACACTACCCTGGCAACACTCAATCAGGAAAGGCCAGCAGCCACCCTCTGCCTTACTGAAGGAAGGGCCTAGGGAGAGAGAAGTTAACCTGTTAGTCGCCGAACAAGACCCTAGACTCGCTCTATGATTGGCTGAATTCAAAGGTATCCTAAATGTTATAATTGGATCCCGCCAAAAACCTGATGGCGGGAACCAATCAAATATGGTATATGTTCATATTTAAATATCAACAAATGACAAACCTGTAACCATAGAGATCTCCTGTCCCTCCCCACGACTTGTTTACTCCTGTCTATAAAAAAGCTGCAAAGACTTTGTTCGGGGCCTCTCAGCGTCACCGGCAACGAGTGCGCGGAGGTCCGGGTTCGAACCCGCAAATAAACAACCCTTGCGGATTGGCTTTGACTCTGGTCTCTGGTGGTCTGTTTTTGGGGTCTCTCGAACTCTGGGCGTTTCACAAGAATTGAAGGTGAGGAAGTAAAGAGCTTTACCTGGTAACATAACTTAAGATGGGGCATCCTCTTCATCTTTCATGATATCCAGAGACCTTATCAGTAGTTGTCAGAATCTTATTTAGTTGAATATGAAATTGAATACAACACTGACTAGGAAAGCATGATAATGAAAACCAACATTCTAGACTAACCAAAACCCATCTCAAGTAGAACAGTCAACTTCGATATGGTTGGGGGGAGGGGTCAGGGCGGGAATGTGGTTTTTCTTCACTTAGAAGAATGAAAATCCAAAATAATATCTGCATCAAGTATTTAAAGTTAACTGAAACTAGGGGCTCCTGGGTGGCTCAGTCGGTTAAGCGTCAGACTTTGGCTCAGGTCATGATCTCATGGTTTGTGGGTTCGAGCCTCGCATCAGGCTCTGTGCTGACAGCTCGGAGCCTGGAGCCTGTTTCAGATTCTGTGTCTCCCTCTCTTTCTGACCCTCCCCTCCTCTCTCTCTCTCTCTGTCTCAGAAATAAATAAAACATTAAAAACATTAAAAATAAATAAAATAAAATAAAATAATAAAATTAACTGAAACTGGATTTTAGGTCTACCCAATTCTCCATCTCTCTGCTGCAGACACATGTGGATTTTAATCCCACCTTCACCACAACCTAGCTTTGTAACCACAGGAAAATGTGTTATCCAAAAAGTTTATTGCTGCCTTTTTATAACAAGCATAAAATAACCTGTTCCTTTTTAAATACGTTCTTAAAATTAAGACAATGCAATTGACTTAAAAGTTTGACCATCAAGGGGAGGGGAGGGGTTAAGACGGCAGAGAGACCGTAGGCAGAGAGACAGCCAGGAAATTGACCTACAGAGTAGCAGAAGGATCTCCAAGGTTGGAGGCAGACACTATGGCAGGAATGAGGTGCATGGAAGTAAATTGGGAGGGGGGGGGAGAGAAAAATGGCAGTGCCATGAAGGGCAGGGAGTGCTTTCCAGGAGAGACAAAAGGGAGAGAAAGAAAGAAGGGTTGAGAGAGTGCAGTGTCAGGTTCGTACAAGAGGAAAACCTATCCGGACCACAGATGTGGGAGCAAAAAGTACTGGGTATCCCAGGTTTTTTATAAATAGCACGTGGAGCTCAAAATGTGAGGTTTTAGAATGTGTGGCTTTCCCTGGAGGGAAGCTGTGACATCCGCTCCTGGGAGGAGGGTGCTGGCCCAGGAGGGTAGAGTCTGGTGTAGGGATCTCCAGGGTGCAGTGGGAGAGGACATTTCCCTTCCCGGAGTACCTTTGGAAGAGAGTATATTGCCTCTCCAAGGGACAAAACACCTCACAGATGTCAGCAAAACGTCTTTGTCCTCAAGGGACAGAGAGTATGTGCAGAAGGCCGATACTCTGGTTGGGGCTTCTCACCATGCTACACCACAGATTCCACACACACAACAGGCACAGGACTGGTTTTCTGGGACAAAGGACATCAGGCACAGCACAGAGGCTCAACTCTGGAGGGACGGGGTGGGTCTACGTGGTGCTGGATCCCTTAGGATTCCTTGTTTGGAATCCCAGCCACGCACCAAAGCTGTGGCTCAGGGCACAATGACTGCCCTTGCTGTTTATTCTGTGAGGGCTTCCTGAACAGCGGGGGTGTGAAATCCCCTCTCTGGGGAAGGGAGGACGGGGTGGCACCATTTCCTCCCTCAACACCAACATGGTGGGACTTCAGAGAGCAGCACAGCAGCCCTCGTATAGGGCAGGACCTGCTTACACCAAACCCTGCCAACCCCACTCCCCACCGTGCCTAGCAACTGCTTTTTTCCTGGGGCAGCTCAGCAAGGCTCTCCTCCAGCCCAGCACAAGCAGTACCCTTCATGTGCCAAGTGTACTGAAAACCAAGCGCTTCGAAGCACCACCTGCAGTTCTTGTGGAACGAGGACCAGCCTTAGTTTCTCTCCCCTTCCTCCCCCGCTCTTTGGAGTCAGGCTTATAGGCTTTTTTTGTTGTTTCTGTTGTTGGTTTTTTTTTTTTTTTTTAATCAGGTCTTTTCTTTTCCCTTTTCCTTCTTTAGAATCAGGTTTATATAGTTTTTTGATTGGGTTTTTCTGTTCCTTTTCCTTTTCGCATTTTTGTTTATTCTCTGAATCAGATTTTTTCTTTTCTTTATTTTTCCAGGATTATTTTAACAAACAAATCAAAGCACACCTAGTTAAAGGTTCAAACAGGCCTTGCAGATGCTGCCGCCCCGGAGTCCTTCGAGCCATTCAGCCATGGTCAATCCCACCGTGTTCTTTGACATCGCCGTGGACGGCGAGCCCTTGGGCCGCGTCTCCTTCAAGCTGTTTGCAGACAAAGTCCCCAAAACAGCAGAGAACTTCCGTGCTCTGAGCACCGGGGAGAAAGGATTCGGTTACAAAGGCTCCTGCTTCCACAGGATTATCCCGGGCTTTATGTGCCAGGGTGGTGACTTCACATGCCATAATGGCACTAGCGGCAAGTCCCTCTACGGGGAGAAGTTTGATGATGAGAATTTCATCCTGAAGCACACAGGTCCCGGCATCTTGTCTATGGCGAACGCTGGACCCAACATGAATAGTTCTCCGGTTTTCATCTGCACCGCCAAGACCGAGTGGTTGGACGGCAAGCACGTGGTGTTTGGCAAGGTGAAGGAGGGCATGAACATCGTGGAGGCCATGGAGCGCTTTGGGTCCAGGAACGACAAGACAAGCAAGAAGACCACCATTGCTGAGTGCGGACAAATCTGATCCGTTTGACTCGTGTTTTATCGTAACTACCAGTCCATTCCTTCTGTAGCTCGGGAGAGCACCCCTCTGCCCCCCTCTGCTCGGAATCGCCTAGAACCCTGTGCTCCTGCTGCAGTTCTGCGGGTCCGTGTCCTCCTTGCCCCTCTCCAAGTTTAGCTGGATTTCAGAGTGAAGTTTATGATCATGAAATAAAAGCTAAGCAACAACAAAAATAAAGTTTCAAACAATCTCCACTGCAAGCAAGGAGGTGCTCTGCAGAGGACCAACCGGTGGGAAAGAGCAGCCGAAACCTAACAGTGTGGTGCACGCAGCATACACCAGAAACACTTCCTGAAGTGCCACGCCCTGGACAGTTTAGACCCGTTTTTTAAAATACCATTACTCTCAGGTGCGGGAAACAGAATAAGCTTTCAAAAACATGCAAGAGACAGAAACTTGGCCAAAATGACAAGACAGAGGAATTCTTCCCAAAAGAAAGGTCAAGAAGAAATCACAGCCAAAGACGTGCTCAACACAGACGTAAGCAATATATCTGAATAAGAATTGAGAACAATAGTCATTAGACTACTAGCTGGGATTGAAAAAAAGCATAAAAGACACCAGAGAAACCCTTGTTGCAGAGATCAAAGCCCTAAAAAGGAGGCCGAAACTAAAAAATGCTATAACTGAGATACAAAACCGACTGGATACAGTCACAATGAGGACTGAAGAAGCAAAGGAATGAATACGTGATATAGGATAAAATTATGGAAAATAAGCCGCACAGAAGATGAAAAGAAAACTATTAGATCACAAAAAGAGACTTAGGAAACTCAGGGATTCTGTAAAGTGAAACAATATCCATATTATAAGAGTCCCAGAAGAAGAAAAGTGGGAAAAGGGAAGAGAACAAATCATAGGTGAGAAATTCCCTGATCTGGGGAAGGAAATAGGTATCCAAGAGGAACAAACTCCCTTAAAATCAACAAAAACTGGTCAACATCACAAAATATCATAGTGGAGCTTGCAAAATACAAAGATAAATAGAATTCTGAAAGCAGCCCTGGACAAAGGTCCTTAACCTACAAGGGTAGATGCAGAAGTTTAACAGCAGACCTGTCCACTGAAACTTGGCAGGCCAGCATGGAGTGGCAGCAAATATTCCACGTGCTGAATGGGAAAAATCTACGGCCAATACTCTATCCAGCAAGGCTACCATCAGAATAGGAGGAGAGATCAAGAGTTTCACAGACAAACAAAAACTAAAGGAGTTCGTGATCACTAAATGATACCTTTAGGAAGTCTTAAAGGGGACTCGGAAAGGGAGGGGGAGAAAAGACAAAAGCAACAAAGACTAGAAAAGACCAGAGAACATCACCAGAAACACCAATTCTACAGGTAACACAATGGCCCCAAATTCATATCTTTCAATAACCACTCTGAATAAAAACAGACTGAATGCTTCAATCAAAAGACATAGGGTATCAGAAGGGATTAAAAAATCCATTTACACGCTTCCTACAAGAGACTCTTCAGACTTGCAGACACCTGCAGACTGAAAGTGAGGGGATGCACAACAACTATCACGATAATGGAGTTAAAAGCCAGAGTACCCTTCTTACATCAGGTAAAGCAGATTGTAAAACAAAGACTATAGCAAGAGAATAAAAAATCATAATTAAGGGACTCTATCCATTAAGAAGATCTAACAATTGTATTTATGCCAACTTGGAGGCACACAAATATATAAATCAATTGTTCACAAGCATAAAGAAATTCATTACTAATAATACTATTAAGTAGGGGATTTAACACCCCACTTACTGCAATGGACAGATAAGCTAAGCATAAAATCAGCAAGGAAACAATGGCTTTGAATGGCACACTGGATTATATGGACTTAACAGATATACTCAGAACATTTCCTCCTAAAGCAGAAAACACATTCTTCTTGAGCACTCATGGAATATTCTCCAGAATAAATTACATACTTTGCCAGAAATCAGTCCTCAACAAGTACAAAAAGATCAAGATCATAAAAATGCATACTTTCTGACCACACTATGAAACTTGAAGTGAACAAAGAAAAAAAATTGAAAAGCCCTTAAATACATGAGATTTAATAACATCCTACTGAAGAATGAATGGGTTAAATGAAAAATTAAAGAATACAAAAATACATGGAAGCAAATGAAAGTGAAAACACAACAGTCCAAACCCTTTGGAATGCAGCAAAGGCAGTCATAAAAGGAAAGGTTATTGCAATCCAGGCCTATCTTAAGAATCAAGAAAGGTCCCAAATACACACCCTAACCTTAAAGGAGCTAGAAAAGGAACATCAAATAAAGACGAACACAAGCAGAAGGAAATAATAAAGAATAGAGCAAAAAGAAATGATATAAAAACAACAACAGTCAGAAGAGATTAATGAAACTAAGAGCTGGTTCTTTAAAATAATAAAATTGATAAACTTCTAGCCAGTCTTATCAAAAAGAAAATAGAAAGGACTCATATAGATAAAATCACAAATAAAAGAAGGGAGATCCAGGGCACCTTAGTGGCTCAGTCTGTTAAGCATCAGCCTCTTGGTTTTCAGCTTAGATCATGATCTCATGGTTCAAGAGTTCAAACCCTACATCGGGCTCTGCACTGCCAGTGCAGAGCCTACTTGGGATTTTCTCTCTCTCCGCCCTTCTCCAAGTCACAGGTTAATTCGTTCTCTGTCTCTCTGTCTCTCAAAATTAAAAAACAAAAATGGGGGGAGGGGAATGATTGCAAACAACCTCACAGAAATAAACAATTTTAAGAGGATACTATAAAAAATTATATGCCAACAAACTGGGCAACCTGGAAGAAATGGGCAGATTCCCAGAAACTCACAAATTACCAAAACTGAAACAGAAAGAAACAGATAATTTGAATAGACCAATAACCAACAAGAAATTGAATCCATTATCAAAAATCTCCCAACAAACAAGAGCTCTGGGCCAGATGGCTTCCCAGGGGAATTCTACCAGACATTTAAAGCAGAGTTAATACCCATTCTTCTCAAACTATTCCAAAAAACAGAAGTGGAAGTAAAGCTTTCAACCTCATTCCATGAAGCCAGCATTACCTTGATTCCAAACCAAGGACCCCAATGAAAAGGGGAATTAAAGGCCAATATCCCTGATATAAATAATTGCAAAAATTCTCAACAAGATACTAGCAAATCACATCCAACAGTACATTAAAAAGTTATTCACTATGATCAAGTGGGATTTACTCCTGGGCTTCAGGGTTGGTTCAATATTTGCAAATCAATTAACATGATATACCTCATTAATAAAAGAATGGAGAAGGGGCTCCTGTGTGGCTCAGTTGGTTAAGCATCCAACTTTGGCTCAGGTCATGATCTCACTGCTTGTTGAGCCCCACATCAGGATCTGTGCTGACAGCTTGGACCCTGGAGCCTGCTTCAGATTCTGTCTCCATATCTCTGCTCCTCTCCTGCTTACACTGTGTCTCTCAAATATAAAAAAATAAACATGAAAAAACAAATTTAATAAAATTAAAATGAAAGAATGGATAAGAACCATATGACCCTGTCAATAGATGCAGAAAAAGCATGTGACAAAACACAGCATCCATTCTTGATAAAAACCCTCACAAAGTAGGGGCAGATAGAACACACCTCAGCATCACCAAGGCCATACAAAAAAGACCCACACCTAATACATTATTTTTAATTAAAAAATTTTTTAGTGTTTATTTATTCTTGAGAGTGAGACAAAGCACAAGCGGGGAGGGGTAGAGAGAGGGAGACACAGAATCCAAAGCAGGCTCCAGGCTCCAAGCTGTCAGCACAGAGCCTGACATGGGGCTTGAACCTATGAACCAATAGGTCATGACCTGAGGTGAAGCTGGATGCTTAACCAACTAAGCCGCCCAGGCAACTCCCACTAATATCATTTTCAATGGGGAAAAACTTAGAGCCTTTCCCCTACTGTTAGGCAAGACAAGAATGGCCACTCTCACCATTACTATTTAACATAGTACTTGAAGTCATAGCCTCAGCAATCAAACAAAAAGAAATAAAAGGCATACAAATTGGCAAGGAAGAAGTCAAACTTTCACTATTTGCAGATGACATGATACTCTATGTAGAAAACCCAAAAGACTCCGCCAAAAAATTCCTACATCAATTCAGAAAAGTTGCAGGTCATAAAATCAACATGAAGAAATCATTTTCATTTCTATACACCAATAACAAAGCAGCAGAAAAAGAAATCAAGGAATAGATCCATTTTGCAACTGCACCAAAAACAAGCATACTTAAGAATAAACCTAACTAAACAGGTGAAATATCTGTACCTGAAAACTATAGAATACTTATGAAACTGAAGAGAGCACAAAGAAATGGGAATCATTCCATGCTCATGGATTAGAAGAACACTGTCAAAATGTCTATGCTACCCAAAGCAATCTACACATTTAATGAAATCCCTATCAAAATCCCACCAGCATTGTTCGCAGGACTAGAACAATCCTAAAATTTGTACAGAACCACAAAGACCTAAAATAGCAAAAGCAATCCTGGAAAATAAAAATAAAACTGGAGTCATTATGATTCCAGATTTCAAGCTACATTACAAAGCTGTATTCACCAAGATAGTATGGTACTAGAACAAAGACACATGGATCAATGGAACAGAAAACCCAGAAGTGGAACCACAATTACATGGTCAACTAATCTTTAACACAGCAAGAAAGAATATCCAATGGAAAAAAAAGTCTCTTCAACAAATGGTTTTGGAAAAACTGGACAGCGACATGCAGAAGAATGAAACTAGACCACTTTCTTATACCATATACAAAAATAAATTCAAAATGGATGAAAGACCTAACTGTGAGTCGGGCAACCATCAAAATCTTGGAGGAGAACACAGGCAGAAACCTCCTTGACCTTGGCCAGAACTTTTTTTTAATGTTTATTTTTTAGAGCAAGCCAGCAAGTGGGGGAGGGGAGGGCTGATGATCCAAAGCAGCTCTGTGCTGACAGGAACAAGCCCAGGGCAGGGCTCGAACTGAACTGTAGGAACATGACATGGGCTGAAGAGAAAGCTCGATCGACTGAGCCGCCAGGCACCCCCAGAGCAACATCTTACTAGACAAGTCACTGGAGGCAAGTGAAACAAAAGCAAACATCAACTATTGGGACTTCATCAAGATAAAAAGCTTCTGCATG